CCACCGCCCCCCGCCCCACCCCAGCCACGCCGGCCGCGGACTGGGGCGCGGCGGGAGTGGGGCGCAAGTAGTAGAAGCACTACAACGCGACCGGCGCGCCCCGCCGCGGAGTCCTGCGGGAGCCCTAGGCTAGGAGGAGGAGGAGGGAGGCGAGGCGGTGGTGAGAGGCTGCTCTGGGTCAGCAGGTTAGGTCAGGGCTCGTTCTGCAAGCAAGGGTTACACGACCAGACCAGTCGGCGAGCTCCATCGGGCCGGGCCGAGGGTTCCACGACGGCGGAAGGCAGGACGACAAAGTCAAGAAAGCAGCCCGGCCAATCAGCGACGTCGCGTCGCCGTCTGGTGGACGCTCATCAACGTCATCACCATCATCAGCCTGATGGGCCCAGCGTGCGCCCGGGCGCCGCCGGAAAACAGACGCGAGAGAAAAATGGCCCCCTCGGGAGCGAAAAAAAATAATCGGAGAAGCAAACAAACTCGGCTTTTCGCACAGCGTTATAATAATCCGCCGACGGCCCGATCCGAGCTCGGCGTCGGGAGACGCGCATGACGCCTGCAATTAAAAGACTGGCCGGCCGTGTTCCGTCCGGCGTGACGTCAACGCGACGTCTCTCCGGCGTCGCCGCCGCCGAGCCGAGCCAAGCGTGTAGGCAGTAGGCACGGCAGGACGACAGCAAGGGAGACATAAGAGAGCCGCTCTGGTGACCACGGTGATCAGCTCGTGCGTGCGATCGATCAGAATGTAGTGGGAGAGGGGCATTAATGGGAGTCTTCCGGCTTTAATGACATGGTGCGCCTGCATGGCGGTGACCACCGACGTCAGATCAGCAGCCAGTGGCCCGCGCAGCACCCGACTCCCTCTTCGTCACTGGCCAATTATTTCGGCTCAATTTTTCGCATAGTCGAAAAGGTCCATCATTATTTTTTAGGGCAACCGAGCATTTTTATTTTAAAATTTTCCTAACTTATTTTTCAATAAGAAAGCTCACGTATACAACGTTTTGAAATTCAATTCTCCAAGCCGGCAAAAATTACTTACAAAATAATTGATGAGAAGAGCCGTGTCAGTAGTAATCGAGCCTAAAAAGTATCCGAAAATGTTGGCAGCAAAAAAATAAAAATAAGTGTCTACGCCTCTCTTTGCTCACCTGGTGCTTCCCTGCCTCCCGGGCGGCCCGCGGTGTGCTGGCGGTGTGCTGGGTGGCGTGCCGAGTCGGGCTCTTTTCTCCCCGCGCGCTCGCGGCCTGCCTCGTCTGCTTCCGTCACCCCTTTCACCCCGAGCAAGATCCCCGACAGAGGAAGAAAGGTAAGAAGGATCGACCCGAGCGAGCGGCGAGCTTTCTGTGGTGTCAGCGAACTCGGCGGCGGCGGCGGCCCGCGGCCCGATATACGGGGACGGGGACGCGGACGACGCACCCCCCTGCGTTGTTTTTGCGGTGCGAATAATGGCGAGTGAGTCAGTCGGTCGTGCTGCTGGTGCCTGCGAATAATCACTGGCACAAGGCTGCTCGGGACGGCAAGAAGAAGCTGCGGCCGAGCAGGCGGCACTGAGACAACGACGACCATTTACTTTTTCTCGGCTCGTTTACAATAATCTTTCTTTCTTTGGGTTCGGCGGCCGGTGTGCGTGTGTTGTATCGGCCCGCCGCGGTCGTGGTCGTCGTCGTCTCCGACCTACATTCTCTGAATCCGCGCGACGCACGACAGTCGTGTACGCACTCATGCATGATGCGCTGTACGCCCCACCCCACCCCGCCTCCTTGCCCGGGGCCATGGAAATGAGCCTTACAAGAGATGATGGCACAGAGACGGGGCCGAAGACAGCGCGAGATCTGCCTTTTTTATGGACCCTGGATCAGTAGTTGTCCCGACTCACCCGGCTCGCCTGCCTGTGAGCAGCTCCACGCTTGCTCTCGTTGAGATTCAGCATTCCTTTCAAACCTCGGCGGGGCGGTCGTTGAGGAGCTCCCGGGAGCGTGACGCACGACGCACGTGACCACGCGAACACGTGACGCAGGACACCGGCGAACCCGTGGCGCCGAAATAAACGAGTGAAAAATAAAATCTTCCATCGAAAGGTTCAATTCGCCGTGTTCTCATCCCCATCTCCCCTTCCCCCATCCATTTTAATTGCCGAGTTGATGGTATAATGGAGGTCTGGTTCCATCGGAGAGGCGGGGCACTTCGTAGACGCGGATAATCGCCCTAGCACAATGTTGCTAAGATGCCGCGAGTTTGCAAATTAGAGGTGCGAAAGCGGTCTAAACACACAAATTTACCACCTTTTCGGCCCTGAGAGTCGGGGGGTCCGCCTGCTCTCCGCACTCTTCTAACGGGTGTACAAGGTGTTTTGCGAGAATTGGCGAGTATTTCTCGAGTTTTTCGCACGGTGTCACGAGTTTTTCGCGAGTCACCAGCCAGTCTTTTTGTTCTTGTAAAATGCGCTTTTTTATTTAGTGAGGGGAGCCCTCGCTGAGAGCTCTTAGCATCTCTAAAGCCATTAAATCATTAGCACCCCATCCTGGCAGAGATGTTGAGATTGACGTACTCTCCTCTAGTGCTGGACCGGAGCAGGGAGGCGGCCGGCGTCCGGCGACTCCGGTGCGGTGACGTCAAGCCGGAGACCGGCGGGTGGGCTGGGCATTGCCCTGCACCGGCATGCGCGTGCACCAGCCATGGGGAAGGCCAGGGCAAGGAAGGATGCTGCAGAGGGGTGCCCGGTTGTAACGGCGAATCAGCAGGGAGCCCTGCAGGGGGCGGGAGGGGGGAGGGGGGGCAGGCAGTCCACTCTCCTCTGGTGCCAGAGAGCCAGAGGCAGGTCAGCCGTGACGTCAGTCCCATTTACTGATCGGGCAGAGTCAGTCGCGCAGAGAAAAACGACAACAGCCTCGCCCCCCCCCCCCCTCGCCCCGGGAGTAAGTGGAAAACGATCATGATAATAGTGGAACGTTAAACCTGACGTCGGATTCGCGATAATTGACACCGACAAGCAATAGCGAATTTATGTGACGACTCCCACGTGAATAACTTGTTGGTTGGGGCGCGGCCGCGCGCTGCCCGGGGAGACGAGGTGCCCGACAAAGCCGAAATGAATCGTTTTATTATCATCATCTTATTTCCTCGGACTCCTTCGCCACGTCCGCGCTCTGTGCTTACGTGACCGCGACCTCGACGGCCTGAAAACAAAACACGACCACCAGTAATAGACTCGACGTCCAAAGCTTAAACGGGGGGGACCAGGTACGTGGATATCACAATGATCAGTCTGGACGTTTTCCCAAAAATATGTAAAGCAGTTTCGACGTCCTGTTTGACGTCAATAAGTAGGCTATTTCACCTTAGGCGTTCTTCAACAGGGAGAGCGATTATCGGGAGCTCTCGAGAGTCGAAGGGCGTCGCCGCTACCCTTTTGCAGAGGGTGTACCTCCACCTCCATGGTACCGCAACTCTAACGAAACAAAACTTCTGAAGAAACTATCAGCAACTAAACTTCTTAAACTGTACATTATCAACACAATTTAAAACTATGAGCGCAGTTTGCAAGATTTACGACGACAACATTTACAACAATAATGGCTGTATGCATTATTTACAGAACAGCAATCTTCTCATTGAAACACTGCACACGTGATGAGGTCAAAGTGCTCGCTGAGAAGCACGTGGTAGCCTCAGATAAACAATTCGGTCCGCTGAGCTAGCCGCCCCCCCCCCCCTTAAACCCCTTTTTTGCCGGCGAATCTAACACGCAGACGTAAACAAATACTTACCACAGTGGATTGCTGCGAATATTTCTGTTTTATTTGCAGGCATTTATAATTATTACTGCTATCGTCTTGGTGGGAGATGCTTCTCTCTCTCTTCCCCCCCCCCCCTCTCTCTCTCTCTGTCTCTCTCTCTTCCCCCCCCCCTCTCTCTCTCTCCCCCCCCCTCTCTCTCTCTCTCGCTCTCTCTCTCGCTCTCTCTCTCTCTCGCTCTCTCTCTCTCTCTCTCTCTCTCTCCCATCTCTCTCTCTTACAGACAGACAGACAGAGGTTGGTGCGTCACAGGAAAAACTACCCGCACGCCACACGAGTGGGACACTGTAAGTGAATTGAGAGGAAAAAATTATGAGGATAAAAATGGTTGTCCTTGAGGGTGTGGCTCAACCCGCCTTCCTGGGTTAAAATACGGTCGGCGCGCACTTAATGGGAAAAAAAAAAGGTTGACTCTCTAATCGCTCGCTCGCTCTGGGGGCGCTGACAAGAGCGTCAGTGCCATGGATCACTGTCTACATACTGGCTCCTCGGAGGCACCGTCCAGCACCTGGCGACGCGAACAAGTAGAAGGGTTGCGCGGGTTGCTACCCTAACTCTGCTCCCTCCGCTCACTCACGCTAGCGCTACTGGACCAAGGGATCATCCAGAAAGTACGTCCGTCCACTCGACGTTGCGCACCTGTCAAGCTCAGCTGTCATGGCGCCCGGTAGGTAGGCAATACAATGCCTGCAGCGCATGCGTGTACTGCGGGGTGGCCTACGCCGAGTCTCGCAGGCGGCCGAGCTCCCCCTTGATTCGCCTCATGAATCCGACAGCAGCGGACGTACATACTTTCTGAACCACCCCCCTTACTCACACACACACACACCACCCCGAGTGATAAAGCCCGGTCAGAATCAGTCGTGCCCGCCCGGCCGCAGGGAAGTACTGGCGAAGCAGTCGGCTGTCCGGCGCAAGCAGCGCAAAGCGGGGAGGTGAAGGCCGAACACACGATTCCATCCCGTTTCCACTCCAGGCGCGTGGTGCCGGTGCCCCCGCGCGAGCGAGATACGCGAGTTGGTACTCGAGTACCTTCCCGCAATATGAGCAGCAATCTATCTGACCATTATTGC